ACTGCAATACTTTTCCTCAGCTTGTTCTTAAGTGGAAAGTTCAGATCTCATATGCTCACTTTTTCCTGGAAGATTTTACGGGTGAGCAGAGAACTAATTGCTATCTCTGATCTTGTCACAAACCTAAGCAAAACGTGACAGGTAAGAAGTGATTTTTTTTTTTATTCAGATTGTTTTAAATCCTGTGCTTTTCTGCCTGTTTACGTCAAGTGCCCTGTACTTACATGGAAGAAATGTTCGCTTTGTTAGACATTCAATACTGGAAGTATCAGGAAAGTTCCAAATTCATATTGCTAGATTTTATTACTAAATTTATCAACAAAACAAAAAAAAGATTAGCCTGTGCATTTTAATCCTATATAGAGCATATGTCAACTGAGTTCAGCAGACAAATATATACATATATATGCAGCTTTCATGTCTTACATAAAAGAAAGCAACAGTAACTATAAAAACTTGTTGAAGATAACAGGGTTTTGTTCATCTTTTCCTGAAAAGCAACAAGGGGCAGAATGCTGAAGTACTATGCCCAGGCAACATACACGTCCTTTGGGTGGTAAAGAGGGTCACGCGCACAACTGCATTTCATGCCCATCACCATCAGCTCCTTTGCTGACCTGGTCATGCCCTTCTCCCATGGCTAGAGACAGCAGAACATAGCTTAACTGACCTATGACCTAAATCAGATTCACAGACAAATCAAATCCTCATTTCCAGAGAATTTGTTTCAAGGCTTACATTAAGGCAACTTGCAACCTAGGCTCAGCAGAGATAATTTTTTAAATCTTTTGATATGTTGCATTTTAAAAGGTTTACCCTGTCTACAGTGGACACTGACCCCATTCAGTTCTGCCAGGGAAATGGCAACACCATAATGAATTTGAGATTTTAATTCAGGTCAGTACACCAAAGACATGATATAGCAGAAAATAAAAAAGTGATAAATTGCCTGCTGAAGATTTTCAATGAGATAATACCTGTAAATTAAGGACAATATTTTCAGAATGAACAAGGCTTCAGAAGCAGAACAATGCAGAAATCTAAAATAAATGTTATAGCACTCAACTTTAAAGACAGCATTAGCTATTTTGTCTTGGGTAATGGGGAAGAGAAGGTGACAGATTAGAGTTGGGGAGATGGAAATCATGCAGGCTCCGATTAATCAGAGCTGTCTACCCACATTTGCCTACACAAGCAGAATTAAAACCATCAAACAAGTTTCAGTGCTAGATCTCAGGGCTGCGGTGGAAATAATGTGCCCTGACGTTTTTACAGTTAAAGTGATAGGGATGATAGCAGCATTTTGTCATTAGAAGTTCTGTGGTCATTTGCCGGGGATGCCACAGCTCTACTTTGAGAAGAAAGAGTTAAATAACTCAGAGCTATTACATCCTGTCTGCTGCTTGGCGGGACCACATACTGTGACAGCTGCGAGCTTTACATCCTCTACAAACTGACATTTTACACACATACTGGGTGCATCACACTGTTCAGCTTGTTTTCTCTATTAGCCTTAGCAATTAAAAAAGGCAGCACTTTCTCTGCTAAGAGGTGTGCAAAGCCCTCTCTTTTGCCTTTATGGTTAAACAGCAGAACTTTAGCTTTTCATTTAGAAAGGTTCTCTTTTTATTACTAAGGGCATTGATACAGGCTACATGTCTTCCTTTTTTAAAACAGCTTGCTTTTGTTGTGGCTGGGGTTCTTTTGTTTGTTTCTTCTTTTTAACTGGGGTACAGCACAATAAATCTACAGAGAGTACAGACCACATCTGAACTCCATAGCTCATCCAGATAATCAAATCTGATACAAATTTAAAATAAGGATCCATTATATACATATTTATGTCGTGCTGCCCATCAGGGCTTCTTCCACTGCCTTGGTATAAATGAAAATGACAAATGGAAAAGGTTAATCTAGATCACAGCTGAACCTATATTAAAAAAAAAAAAGAAAGTCTACATTAATGAGTCATTCCACTGTTCCATAATTATCTCTGTGATGATTATACTTTGAAGTACTCATAACAGAAACAAAGTCTTTACAGGCTTCTGTCGCTACTGAACTCTGTCTCCTTCCCTCTACATCCTCCATTTTACAGTCCTTTCCTCTGCCACTGCATAAATCTATGTTTATGGTAAATAAAGGTGAATTCTGATGGGGTTTATCAGAGAGGTGACTTGGTCCTCCGGGTATGACATTGGGCAAATGCCTACAGATCCCCCAGCTTCCAGTATTTCTTTCATTCATTTGATGACTTCACCTACCTATGCCTGTTGTGTCTCAGAAAGCATCAGGCATGAAATATCCAGGTGCTTATTTAAATGTCAGAAGAAGAAAACGGAGATGGTCAGCTCTGCGTTTCCTCTGGTAAGATCTTTGCAAGAGTTCCCCAATGCCTCAACCTCCTTTCTTCAGGAGGTTTTTTTCTTCTCCATATTCTTACACTTTCAGGTTGGTGGGTAAACACATTCATAACGTCCCCAAAAGAGGGGAACTTGATCTCAGAAGAGCAAAATCACTAGCGAAAACCCAGCATCCAAATTTTAAATTACAGCAGAGATAATTTGATCATATTGACAAGCTGTGTATATGCTCAGTCAGTTTCTGAAACTGCACCTACCAAATCTTATGTCTGGAACAAGAGATTCTCCATGCTAGCCCTCACACAGACCTGGTGTGCAGCACTACAGCATCTCTTGACATGCCAGATGGCATTGGGAGGTTGATTCCTTAATCTGTTGACCAGCTGCGTCTCCAGCATGGAACTGCTAGAACTGAAGGCAAATGACACTGCACCTACCAGGACTCTAACACTTCAAGGGGCCCTTCTAGAAGATACTCTTCCACTGTGTCTTAGTGTTTTGGTCACCATTCTGCCATCACAGGATCCCCATTACCAGATGCTGTCCTTGCCATGTCGCTTGAGACAAACTTTCTTGTGTCCACACAGAGCAATAGGGGCCATTATGCAAAACCTTGCTGCAATATCCTATTGAGACAGGGAACCCTTCACTGGTTGTCTATGAGCCAAATTGATTCAGACCAAGAATCCATTTAACTCAGGAAGCAGTCTTCAACACGGCTCTAAGTCACAGCTAAGAAAAAGTAACATATATCAGGACAAGCACGTAGGATACCTGCCCCAAATATTTTGTGTACTTCCTCTCAGCACATCTGGTTTAGTTTCCACTGAAAGGAATCCAGTTTGTGCAATATGAAACCATTTTGTGATGTGATTCTGTGATCTTAAGTGGGGAGGATCAAGGGGTTCACTTAAAAAACACACTCATGATCTGAATTAAAATGCTTGTATAAACACAGAGATAGTTAAGGTAGAGGAAAAAACAACATTGCTTCCACCTGAACCCATCTAAACTTCTTGAACCTACCGCATTCTCCAGAAAGGAGTTCCACAATTCTGCTGCCTGCTGCATAAAGAATTACCTGAATTATCTCCTTTTTGTTTGTTTTGCACCTGGCCCTGACTAGTGCCATTTGACAACCCTTAGTTCTTATACTGGAAGAGATGGCAAACAGTCAGTCCCAATTTACATGCCTCCCATGATTTAGGAGACCTCTACCTATTCCGTTCCCTGGAACCCTTCTCTTTTCCAGGCTGAAAGAACACACCATGTAAAGTCCTCCTAATATGGAAGCTGACTCCATCACTGATCAACCCCACTGCTCTTCTCTGAACATTTACAGTGCTAACATAACCTCTGAAATAAGGTGCTGTCAAACCACGGCTTATACTGTAGTATGTAGTAGTATATGCTTGCTGTTTCACCCTCTACTCCTTTCCTAACAGTTTTTAACATATGGTTAATATTAAAGCTTCTTAACATTTGCCTTCTTGATCAGCACTGACCTAATGCACTCATGGAACCATCTGTCATTATCCCAAAACCTTGCTCCTGAGTGGCAACACCACAATTTGACCCTAAAAATGAACAAGAGCTTACAGTCAAGTCTGTAATAACTGGAATAAAATTAAATGTAATATAGGAATTGTTTGTTCAGATGCACGTTAGCACAAGAAAAGCTGCCATTAACACATTACACTGTTCTTCAAGAAGTTTCCAGCCATTATTGTATGGCCATTTCTTGCTACACTACAAAGTCATCATCTAATGACCAAACTCTTAACCCTATTCTCCTGGAATTTTACACATTTAGTCTAGCATCTGTCCTATTTTCCCTTAATCCATCCTTTTGGTATGTGTGTGCCTTGCTTGTCTTTCTTAGGATTTTACACCTCTAACAATATATTCCAAATGAAAAGATCAGGCATTGCCTTTATAGATACATAACATGTATTTCTGGCAGATTAATCAAATAAAACAAGACAAAACAAAAAAACTGTAATATTTATGCAATAATATCTTCTTTTCCCCCCATGATCTTTTTGCTTCAAGTCACAAAGAATTTTAAGCCCAACTTTTCAAATACCTATCTGTGTATCAAATTTGTTGTGGAAATTTGGTACTGACTGATCTGATCTAAACAGTGTTTCTACTGATCTGAGGGTGCACTTGGATCAGGAAAAAGCCAATCTATGACACATGTGGTTTGTTCTTTCAGCAGATGAAGGAGGTCAGACAGAAGCAAATGCAGCTAAGCCTACCTAATGGGTTGCTGCCTTTAGAACTGCGATGCTACGGTGACTTGTGTGATCATGTTACCCTGACAACCAGTGGAGATCTTCTTTACAGTTAATCTAGCAGACATCTGTATTTTTGGGACAGCCAGCCCTGAGTTTCATTGCTCACCATCACTCACATTTCCTAGCCCCGCCAATAAAGCACGAAGACTATCAAAATCAAAAGTGCATTGTACAAACCTAGAGTGTGGTTAACTGGCATTACTGTTATGTTGCACCCCTTTACCTCAGTTGCCTGTCTGACACTGCTGAAGCACAGATCAGTACGTGACAATCTGCCTCACAATCTTGGACTGTTTTGATTTACAAAAAAATCTAAGATGAAAAGCCGCAGACATACCTTCAGGACAGTCCACTGCTCTACAACAATTGCGTCATAGCCCTGCATGGTTTTACTGTCTTCCACAGCAACATCTTCAAAGAGAAATACTCCATCCATTGTCCCATGTAAAGAATCTGCGAAAAAACAGGGTTATCTGTAAGCTTTATGGAAAGCACCCCATTGTATAGGGAGGCGTTTGAATTTATTAATAACGAATTCTTCCAAGGATATTAATAACAAAGCGGATAGACCTTCCTCTGATAATCCAGCTCTATTAAATGAGTAAGACTAATATCTCTAGCAGTTTTTAAGAGTAATCCTACTCTCTAATAACAAACCTCACTGTACACTCTGTTACTTCAGAGTTTGTCCTCAAAAACCACAGCTCTCCCATTTTGAGCAGGCAAAATTAATTCAGCCCTCAGTTCAGCGGTACTGCTCACCTACTTGAAGTTATACATACACTCTGGGGGCTAAAGGCCATGTATCAGGTCAACTTTCCAAGGGCTTTTCAAGGTACGCTGATATTAATGACTATACCCATTCATTCACACAAGTCAGAACCCTACATATGCATCAGCCATGGCAGTTACAGTGATCTACAAGTACATGTAGATGATCTGGCATATCTGAACAGCATGAAAGAAAAGATACATTCATAACTATTTAATCAACTTATGAAGGCATTTTGACCATCTGGTTTAGTGGCTCTCTGTTCTCATTTGCATTCCCAGCACATTCAGCCTTTTTTCAGACAACACATACTATTCAAGCAGCACTTTCTCCTTCAACTTAGCTGTACACTCCATAACCAGCAGTCACTCCCATACCCAAGAACTCACGTTTTGTCAGCTCCATGACAGAACAGAATCAGAACATCTGAAAAAAAATTACTTACCTTTCTTTACTAAAATAAGCTAAATGATGAAGCAATAGAATTATATTTAGAAAAACTGTAAATAAGCACTACTGTACGCTTTCAGTCATACTTACCCTGTATGACTGATTATAAAGACCTTGCTCATCCCCTCCCCAAGTGTTAGCAAAACTATATTCCTTGCACTGGTATGATACACGTTTTTGAAATGCAACCACACAAGCCAAACCAACAGATTCTTAAATTGACAGGAGAATCTTCTGGATAAGTCTGCTTAGCTGTTTCAACAGGTCCTCCTGCTTTCCCTGGTGGATGTTAGGAGGTCAAGAAATGCCAGCAGGAAGGCATTACTGTCTCCAAGGGAAAACATATATCAAACTCAGAAGCGATTTTCACAAAGGAGGCAGTGAAAAGGATTAAGAGGTTTCTTACCTCTTGCAGACACGATCTCAGTCAACATCTTCCAATGTCATTATGTGATATAAATTCAATTTATTATCTGGAAATAATAAATTTGTTGTGGTCTTTGCCCACAACAAACCAGACTCCTACATTTGAAGCCTTATGTCTACAAACACACTGTAGCAAGACTGTTGCTGCAGGTATCAAGCATTTGCACAGCCCTTTGCTTCTATTTCCATGGTCCACTACTCTCTCTTACTGCAGTTTCAATCAAGTCATTAAGTTGTAAGCGAGCAGATGCAAATAGTCGTACCTAAAATACAACAGGATATTTTTTTTTTTTCATTTGCTGGTGAAGGAAAAAAGTTGTAAACCATTTACTAGGGACTCTCCTTGGGATTCTGTTGGGAGACTCAAAGAAGCAGAAAAATACACCGTGTATTTTCATGCTGTCTCCTCAGACAGGCTTCCTGTAACTCTGTTTAGAATAAAGAGGAATGAAGACTCCTCACCACTACAGTGAGCCAGTATTACACACTGCTCCAAGGAGGACAAAATGGACTACAAAGCAGTAACTCCTGTCATCCAGATGAATTTTTCATACAAGTGAACAGATATTTTTGTTGTTAAGTAACAGGCCAGATCACTAAGTAGCTGGGTTGCAGGTTAGAAAACATAGGGAGAACAAGCTCGTCACATACAAATGGGTACAAAAGTTACTTATCATATTTCATTCAGAAATGGCACTTTGTTAGACCCTACGTTTCAAACTGGGAACCAACTCAACTTCTGTGTAATGTATTGCATTCCAACACACACACCCTTACCCAAATCTATCTTAGGATGCATAATGTACAAATAACCTTTTAATTTTCCAAAGCAGGAATGACAGGACAGCACCTAAGGCTGAAATCAGAAACCCAAGGATCCCTACTAGACATAGACACCCAGGTCTTGCCAGGAAGCCTTATACAGCATCGGCATACTGCTCCTGTATCATGAATTCTCTTAATGAAATACAGTGTCGCACTGTTGGCACAACTGCAGCTTGAGCTTGCCCCACGCATTTGCCAGCTAATTAATAAGCGAACAAAACACAATCAGCATGCATGTGTTTACACTCACTCATAAATCATCCTTTATGTTTCACTCTGCTGCGCATTCCACTCGCGCAGTTCACAGTTTCCACATATGTGAACATTATGGCACATATGTAACGTTTTAGAAACTAATAGCTGAGCTCATGAGACCCTACAGGCAGCAGATAAACTTGACTGCACTTCCTTGTTGGATGTACAATGATTACTGTTGAATGCTACATCCAGTCAATCCTAAGATCCATTAATTTTTTGGCCGGGAAAGAAAGCTATAGAAAATGAGAAGAGGAAAAACGATGAGGGAGAGACAGCTGCTGCATACTGGTGTCTTCTCAACAGAGCAATGTGGGTGAAAAACTCTGTAAGAGAAACTGGTTGTTGATAGTTATTAAGATTTTCCCGCTGAAGTGTAACCAAGTCTCCTCTCTACCTGTTGTGCCACGACGTTTAAACTTTCATGCCATGAATGCATGTCTGCCAATTCTTACACCTTGGCCGTACATCTTCCCTTTTACATGTCATCTACTACTCTTCCAGATAAAAGGGGGAGGTCAAGGAAAGAATAATTGGATCATTAATTCCTTCACATGTGAAGCAACTGGGATGCCGAGAATAGCACAGAAACAGGAGAAAGCATCATAAAGAGAGCTAATGGGGTCATATTTTGGAGAAAAGACACAACCCATGCTACAGTGTCAGGGTCAGCAGGGAGCAGCAGGAAGTTCAGGGAAACTCTTACACCGAGGTGTCGAAGGGAAAGGAGATGGACAGATGAGCTCAGTCTACGTGTAGTACCTTTATCACACAGATGCTCTAGAGTCTGTAGCAACTTAAGTCTACAGTCACCTGTGCTAGAGCTGGCCAACTAGGTGAGATTCACATAATCTAACATTAGATATTTATGATATAGAGGTCTACAGCGGAGTTAGTCATCCAAGGCTGTCTTTACAATTGATGGAGGGAAATCATTATTTCATTCAGGACCCAGTTTCATAGAACAATAGAATAATTCAGGTGGATGGGGACCTCAGTAGGTCTCCAGTCCAATCTCCTGCTCAAAGCAGGTTCAATGCAAGTGCAGAACAGATTGCTCAGGGCTTTATCTAGTTGCATCTTGAAAATCTCCAAGGATGGAGTCTGCACATCTTCTTGGGCAGCCACTTCCAGAGCCTGACTGTTTTCATGAAGAAAAAGGTTTTCTTTATATCCAGCCTGGATCTCTCGTTTCAATTTAAGCACTTTTTTTTTCATCCTCCTACCATACACCACAGTCAAGAGCCTGGATCCATCTTCTTGATAGTCTGCTCACAGGCACTGCCAGGCACTGTTATGCCCCCCAAAGCTGTCCCTTCTCCAGGCTGAACCAAGCCAACTCCTTCAGTCTTTCCTCACAGGACTCCAGCCACTGACTTTATCGCCGCTAAAATAGCTCCAGTTTGTCAACATCTTCCTTGTCCCTTTGGGGGAGGGCCCAAAACTGGACACAGTATGTGGTCTAGATGCAATCTAATAAGCACCAAGTAGAGGAGGATAATCATTGTCTTTTATGTACTAGCTATATTCTTGTCGTTACAGCCTGGTATGCTGTTGCCTTCTCTACTACCAGGGCATACTGTTGGTTCATCTTCAGCTCGCTGTCTACTAACATCCCCCAGGACCCTTTTCAACAGAGCTGCTACCCAGCCAGGCAGTCCTCAGCCTTGATTAGTGAAAAGGCCTCTCCCTTCCCAGAGGCAGGACATTTGTGAAAGAATTTCAAAAAGCTCCTGCTGGCACATTCTTCCAGCCTGCCCCGGTCCCTCTAAACAGCAGCCCAGTTTTGAAGCACATCAACTGCAGCCCGGAGTGTGGGATCATCTGCAAATTTGACAAAAGCAAGCCCCACTGCCTCCTCTGCTTCATTGATAAAGTTGTTAAACACAACAGGTCCCAGGATAGATCTCTGTGGTACTCCACTTCTTACTCCAGATGAAGTGCGACCTATTAACCATGAACCTCGCCATGCAATCAGATTTTTACCCATCTAGTTGTACTACCATCCAGGCTGTAGGGTCCTAACTTGAATACAAAAATGTTGTGGGAGTCACTGTCAAACTTCCTTGATGAATTCACCCAAAATGACATCTACTGCTTTTCCCTTCATTCAAAAATCCAGTGATTTTATCACAGAAGACAATGAGTTTGTCAATACTTCACAATGAGTGAAGTATTTAGTCTTGTTAAACCCATGCTGACTGTTCCCAGTGACTTTCTTCTCCTTCATGTGTCCAGAAATGAAATGTGTTCTGATAGGACTCACTCAGTGATTCACCCAGGAATGAAGTGAGGCTGACCACCCTGTAGGTCCCTGTATTGTCCTTTTGGACTTTTTTCAAAGATGGATGCAACCTTTGCCTTTCTTCAGTGTTGGAAACCTCTCCTGATCTCCATGACCTTTCAAAGATGACTAAGAGTGGCCTTATTATGACATCAGCCAGCTCTCCCAGCACCCCTGGATGTAGACCATTTGGCCTCAGGAACTCAAGAAATCCCTGTCTTGATCCTCACACACTCGTGTTAGTCCTGCACCTCCAGGAACCTTGCCTCTAAGCTCAGAGGCCTGGAAGTCTATTATCAGTAAAGACTAAGGCAAAGGAGGCACAGAGTATCTCAGTCTCATCTAGGTCTGCTGTCACTAAAGCACCCACTCCAATCTACCTGATCTCTTCTAGATATCTATGTAGGATGAGGTGGATTACAACACAAACCCTACTGACTATATTGGTCTAGACCTAGATCTCCATTGATTATAATGGCACTTTTGGGCAACAATCCATATACAGATACTTGCAGGGCAGATGCCTACATTTAATCAGCTGAATCTTACCTAACCTATCTACAAAGATCAGCCATCTAAAGCTTTAGATGGTCAGTTGATACTTCCACTTTCCACTGTTTCTCATGCAAAGTATTTCCTGATTATGGTGCAGTTGTATTCTCTTTTGGTAATCTCTTGTTCAGTAAGATTCAGCTCCTGGAACTTAGCATACATTAAAAAGGTCTTCAGTAATTTAAAATGTTAGTTCATTTGCAATAGGGCAGTAAGGAATGCCAATAAAACAAATCATTTTGACTTTGCTATTTGTGGTATCATTTCCCAATGTCTACTCTTGAACTGACATAACTTCACTCTTTCTTAAAGAAAAGGCTCTGAACGTAAAGGTTACAATCACTCTCCTTCCTCTGCACATGTTCCATTACCACTGCATTTTTTATTAAGGTATCCTACTGTGCACAAAAAGCTATTTTCACTGGGATGTATAAATATTTGATGTAGCACGGTTGACAAAAAGCTGTTTTGATGTTCTTGTTTCTGATTTGCAAGAAGTGTATGGGAAAAGATTTCTTACTTTACCACGACAGCTTTACTAGTGGGCAACAATTTTCCCCTTCTGGCCTTTGAACTACAAATCCCCCTTATCTAGGAAACTAACCTTTAGGCTGCTGTTGCTCTCAATGAGGAAAACTAGCTATCTGTGCCTTTATGGGGCATGTGACCTGAATATTGGCCTTTCCTTCATATTTATACTCCTACCTCCTCCTGAATCTTTTTACCTTCAGTACACACAGAGAAAAATAATTCCATATGGATGATAAAAATGCCAGCCACTTCAGTGGATAAGGTGACTATAATTGGCCAAATGCATCACTGGTTCATCTGTCAGAGGCAGTGATACAACAGAGACAATCAATCTGGCCCTCTAAAACCCTGACTATTTTCCTCTTCCAAGCAACTCATGTTTTGCTTCATTTGCTTTGTCTCTAAGTACTGTCAAAGTTTTCTCGTTGGTTTGCTGGCTATTTCTAAGTTTGAGAGCCAGGAAATTCACAGACAGAATGGTAAAACAAATACAAGAATGCTAGGCATTTAAAGACTTGCAGTTCAAAACAACTAAAGATGACCAGGCTTGTGATTACTCTGTTAAGGCATCAAAATATAACCTTAGCTTTGACTCTTCCTCCCTTCTCACTCTCACCTTCTTACACTGCTGATTGGAGACTTGCTGTTACTGGAAAGGAAGGGACCTCACCTGTTGTATCTTTTTCATTTGCAGTGGTATTAATCTGTAGTTTGCTGCTACTTCTCACTAGGGGAGGGCAAGGGAGAAGTCCGATGATGACTTTAGATCACTCCTGATGACTCAGGATCAGTTTACACCTGGGACTACAGGAAGAATTAGCAATGACATGACTTGGATGAAAAACACCAGCAACTGACTGAACTCCAAATTTAAATAACTTACTTGTCAACATAAGAACACTCAAGCACCAAGCAAGCTGCTGTTTCTAACTTACTGGCAAAATCTGAATACATTTAATATATGGTGTAACTCTGCGTGGTTTACATATTGTAATTTGCAATTGTGTTATATTTCTCTTTATAATTATCTGGTACAATAAGCAAAAAGAAACAATTGTTATCAGTGAACTTCAAAACTCTTTTAAAGACTAATTATTAAACTGCTGGCAGAAGGAAGAAACAGATTTATGACTACTGACAATCTGGAAATCTTCACTTCATTGGGCATTCCAAGGACAAGGGGGAAAAGATGATAACAACCCTGCTTTTCAGTCTAATAAGCAAAATAATGAATTCATACTTTAAGCCAAAGAGAAAAACAGTCCCCAGAACAAAGACATGCGATATAACCAATTAAAGAAAGTATGCTAGTATTACCTTAATTTGGAAGAGGATTAATGAGTGAATAAGGAGACCAGCTATGAAGAGCTGGATAGGCTGCCATAAAAGGCTAGGAAAAAAGTAAGGAGCTGAGAAGCCCTCAGCCCCCTTTTTCTTCCCTCCTCCCTACCCTGGGTTGGTTCATACAGGTTGGTGTATGAGTGAAAAAGCTGTTCCATTTCTCTGAAGCATAGGAAAATTTTAAAATCTAAATCATAAACATTTAACTGCAAGGAATAGCAACTTACGGATGTTCTTAGCAAATGTTCTTCTAATAGCATGGGCACATTGAAGGTGTTTTAACATAACTGCTCTAATTAATACACTTTTAGAAACTTTAATTCTGAACTTTTTTACTTCTAAACCTGTTCTTCCTGTAACTGTAAAATGCAAATAAAAATGTTTATTAATTGTTCATCTTCATTCTCTAATCTAACTTAATCCAGAATCTGTCCACTTTTGTACAATTTGTTGTCCTGTTTATGCTGAAACTTTACTGTCATCATTCAACGTGACTTTATCATGTCTGCAGGCAGTTATTCAGCGCTCCTCACTGGTATCCAAGTACATGAACTTCCCCCAGGCCTCTGTTATGTAAATGAACTTTAGAAGTTTAAATACAGAAAAATGCTGTGTTTAAAGCATTTTAGAGTGCACTGATAAGCAGTTTTTATTAAAGAAAACACTGAGCCTGATAGAGCCAATTAGATTTGCCTCTGTGAGTTGCAATTCAAACACATAAAGTAAATGACCATTTGTTTTTAAGCAAGTTAACTAGCAATTACAAGGCTTTCCAGGAAGCTGTGCAAAAGCATTCCATCAGCTGAACTTTAGACCTTCCTTTTTGCTACTTGCTTGCAAAATTAAAAATTAGGATTGCCTGTTAATTTCCTGATTGGCTTTTACAAGAACCAACTCATATTACTGTATTTTATCATGGGTCCTGGAATTCTGACCAGCAGCAAAATGGGAAGAAGATGCTTTGGAATCGGTTCCCCTGTAATTTTGAGGCACAAACCCATGAATTTTAGTAGTAGTGCCCAATCTATGGGTTACCACATTCCTTTTGAAGAATGCAAAACATACCAAAATTAGGTGAAAGATTCAGCCATAAGCACTTTAACCATGAAGAATACTAGTCATATACTTTTCCAGTAAAATTAATCTGGCTGTAACTTCTACATTTTTATGTTCAAGTACTTCCCTTCGTTCTCATGGTCCCTTGGTTGTATCTCTCAGATCCCTGCTATGCACCAAAGTCTTTGTACAGCAGACTTGTCTTCAGAGACACCACAGTGGCCACGAGTGTAGTACAGACTGGCTACAGTATTACGCTGAATTCAGTGCCACATTTTCACAACATGCAAAAATATGGTTTTTAATCTTCTCTTCTTAAGACCAACATTTATCCGTCACTTGTATGAACACACTAGCTATGATGAAACAAACATAGAAGACAATTTTATACAACATTGTGCCATCAAGGGTCTCTGCAAGAACTGGGAGTAACTGACTACACGTTGGTCAGATGAAACTGGAGGGTCCTTACACTGACCTGCAGTCAGACCCAGAGGCAGTGTGTGGCCAGACAGCTAAGAAGAAAGCCACTCTTCCAATTATGTCATCTACTTTACAATCTTACTAGTTTAATTCATTTTACTTGGTACTGTTTATTAACTCTGTATATTTCTGCAATTACAGGATCATCTCTACTATGTTTATGAAATACAATACATGATCTGTTTTCCTTGTTCAAATGCCAAAATACTTCCTGTGCTTTCATTTCACTTCACTGAAATAGGCTGATCTAAACCAAATCTGCCCCAAGCCTATATTAAAGCACCTCCCAAATGCCTTCTCTTGAAAGATAATGAGCCCTATTAGAGGAAAAAGGAGAATAATCACAGCATAATGCTTTCTGTAATTTCCATACCATTCACCATTCCAAGGCTGAAGATGGCATTTACCAAAGAGCCTCCTCTCCTGAAGTGATCTGTCATGTGCTCCAGCCAGTTTGCTTCTAAGCTGTTGACAGTCTGCCCATTCCTGGAGATCCTCATAGGGATAGTCACTGTAAAATACTGGCTGCATCTTTGTGGGGTTTTTGGCTTGTTGAAGAGAGCGAAGATCTCTGCTTCTACCAAAAAGTAAAAAATGGAGTAATGCAACAACAATATCATCATATTTCACCTAAAACAATGTATAGCCCACTGGTTGCCCTTGCCTGATCACACTGTGCAACTGCAAAAAATACTTTGGGTCATGGTTATCTCCTTAATACATTTCTGCAGTGTCCAACAGACTAGGGTCCCAAAAACCAATATGATATTTTGATTACTGTTACAATGTTTGTTACTAATAATAGATTTTCTGTTGATAATAGAACATTTAAAGGCAGTAATACCCGAGTGCGAATGGACAACCCCTCACTGGAGTTACCGGTGTAAACCAAGATCAGAAAACATGCTCCACAAACTGCTTAAAGTACTGCAGCTGTGTCAGAATCACTAAAAATTAATGCACAGAGTGCCTTTATTTTTCTACTGAATGAATTGTTAAAAGAGCTATGACAATAAGGACAGTTCAAGTACAAATTCTTACTGCAAATTTAAAAGAAACTGCATTTCGTAGATCATGGCCATTAAACTAAAGTGTTAAATAACTTGGTTTTGATAATACAATGGCATGGAACCAGCAAGTAGTAGTCTCATCTGAAGAAAATTTAATGAATCATTACTGTAGAGACTATGCTAGATGGTTAGTTGATTTAGTCTGGGTCTGAGCCAAGGTGAGACATTAACACAACAGTAAATGAATTTTGAAAGTGCAATTGTGAAGGGTCTTACAAATCTAAACATTGTCTGGACTCTCCTCTCGTATATCGTAGGAGCAGTTAATGTGGGCTTCCCACCACAAAAAAGTCATTGTTGACAGCACAGCTGAGCTTTCACAGCCCTAAAACTGGAAGAAAGTTTAAGTGCAGATATATCTTCCAAATTCTCAGAAGGGTACAACCATCAATAGAATTAGTGATGAAGAATTTTTGGACATTAATATTTTACTTATTGAGGGACATGGAAAGCAATGGTAAAATTTCTATTGACTTCCAAATGCCAAAAACTACCCCCAAATAAATTAATATAAAAGATAAAGATGTTATATGAAATGAAATTCATTCAATATGCTCCTCTTGATTCCAAGTTATTATATTCTAATCTCAAGTATTAAAGAAAGAGATGTCAAGAGAAATGTTAAGATTGTTCTCTAACAAACGTCACTGAGCGAGCATTAGTGTGTAAATTGAAAAAGATATTAGAAGGGAGATGCTCAGAGACAGGCTGGCAGCACTTGAAGAAGAGAGCAGGAAGCTCACAATATAACCAAACATGAAAAAGAGACCTAATGATCTCAGTCATGAACCATGAATCAAATAGACTAGAAAGGAATAAATTGTTAACATGAATCCTCTTGCTGTTTACCACTTGTTTAGAAAGAACAAAATTATTATAATCCTAAATCAGAAGAGCACACACAGAAAACTTCTATGATTGTTTTGATTCTGACCCCCAAAATAAACTCCTGTTGGAAATGGAGATCTTTCTGGTGTATATGAAGACATTATATTAACAATAGCAAATCATGGAACTGGAAAACCGTAGGGAGATGATAATTTGGACTTGACACTGGGCTGTTGACAACATGCATTAAAATGTGTGGGAGTCTTTCAGTGGTTGACTTTGTTTGTCACCATTATTGAGTGTATAGTTCAGCAGTCCTAAACACCCACAGCTCAAGCTGCTATCAACAACAATTTTCACCAGCAAACCTGACTGCTCAAGCATGGACAAGTTTGGTTCTAGGTAACACAGCACTTTTGGACATACCATTGGAATATCTGTGCCTTGTTCAGAGGCAAATAATTTTCAACACTATTTTGAAGAGCCCTTTAATAAAGGGAAAGTGAATGAGCACTACAAAATATTCAGAAAAAAATGAAGAAACATAAAAGTAACACTTGAATAGTATAAAACCTAAAATAAAGAACACAATTAAGATTCTGAAGTTTTATGCAGGGAAAAAGGAGTTCAAGAGTGGTAACTTCCTATGGAATAAGTAGGCTAACTGGAAAAAAACCCCCAACAAATCACCTGATGCTTTCTATCTTCATGTTCCCAAGGAAGGATGGAGAACTGGTGCCAAAGACTGAAATATTTTCCATGTGAGGAAAAGGGAGTGCTGTAATAACAAAAACTCATACAAGAGTAATAAAGAAATCAGCAATGTTGTACAGGCAATAGATTTGGGAAAACCCTACTATAGGTGAACTGTCACATAAAATTGCCTTCTCAGACCTTTAGTCTTGGATAGTACTTGCGTAACTCAGCAATTTTAAAAAATGTATGAGAAATAAACAAATCCAAAAAGCACTCAAAGAAATAAAGATAAATAAGGAAACGAAAGGCATTAATTAAAAAAAAAAAAAACAGCACTCATCTGGCAAATCAGCAGCTGTAATAAAATCCTGGGGTGTTACAGACAGACAGAAATTGGGAATATTGAAGGTGATCCAACTTCACATTATGCAGAAATACTAAGAACAGGGTTACTTGTAGCAAAAGATTTCCCCTGTTCAGTATAGAGAAGAACAGCATCAAAAGGATTATTAAACTTGCTAGGTTAACTCTCTCAAAGACAGTGTATCATAAAGAGAAAGAACTGGTCTGATTAGACTTGGCAATAACTAATTTAGAACTATAAAACTGAGTGGTTTTATAATGTGCAAGATTCTAGTGTAAACCAGAAAAAAACTTCCAAATAATAGCTGTGCTTTGACCAAATCTGGCTGCCCCCTTGCCCAACAAAAATTAAAGTAAGTATGGTGAAAAGTTACTAGAGTGTGATCCAAATCAGAAGGCAAAAAGCTAATTACACTGAAATGCAACGGAAACCAAGACAATAGCCCAAGGAGGGTACAACGCAAAGTCATTCTCAGTCCTACATACAAAATCCCCAAAGGGGTAAGATTGTTTGACTGAATCTATGTAAGACATAAAGAATAGGGATAAATTAAAGTCAAGGACAGTACCAGCTGAAAGGAATGTAGATGGAATTTCCTTATGTAGATTTGTAGCTTGTAAGGAAAGTAAGCAAAGTTGTAAGATAAATGAGTGTACACAGTTTTGTAGGCTCTAAGCAAATACAGGAATGAAAAATATTTTGAGGTTTAAACTGGTAATGAAGCAAGAATATTTTTTTCTGATGATTTTTTCATTTTCTGTATTACGGTGGTCTACATCCTATTTTTAACTACAATTCCTGCTACTGAAGTAACCTCTAAGCAACAAACGCCTTAAAGAGGGTACTTTGAGACCTCAGCTGAGACTTTTGGTTTTTGATAAAATGGCATATGGCATAAAATGACATTTAGAAGTGAAAGCACACGTGCGGAGAAATATGTCAAAGAAGTGAAAGAAAGAAAACTGGTATCTGAAGAATAATCTTACCAAAAAATGAGAACTGGAAGGCAAATTAATAGGAGCACCATTACCAAAAGGACCTTTATTATGAATTAGCAAACATGACCCATTAACAAAGATAACTGCTGCTTTCCAGTAATTACAATTCTGACTGTAGCACTGACCCCAGCCTGACTATAGGATACGAGGAGACTTCAGCGTCCGGATCACATATATTGCTGCTGTTCCTGATGTGGTTTAATTTCAGCTATCTGTTCACCTGCTACAAAGGGGCTAACTGCGATAAGGCTTTGTGACTCATTCCTTCCATTGCTGCAAAACCTTGTCAGGCAGATTAGCAGGGCTTTTTATTCAAATGGACAAAAAGATACAAAGATCAAGAGCTCTCAGGGTATCGCAACAAATACAGAAATGAACCACTTTAGCTGAACAGCAGACAAAAATAAGTCTTTACACTCAGGCATACAAACGGGCCATAACAAAGTTGCACCTGCTTATATCATCTCTTCATTTGCCATCTGACTTATGCTCAGTCGTTGTGAACTGTGTAACCATGCTGAAATGAGGTTAAGTGGCTCATTTGGTTAATCTTTTCTTCGCTACTACAGCGGTAAGGTCCTCCCTGCCTCCCTACCCGCAAAGGAGCTGGGAACATATGGGAACATAATTGAGGCAATTTTAACTTGGCTTTTATGTATGAGAGGTCACTACAATACTTACTGCCAGTAAGTGGTTTTAAGCATCGTGCTGGTGTTTCATTCTCCCCAAGTCCATTCGGCTTGTCTGCTGCTTCTGTTACACTTGGGTTCGCATGCTGAAACTGCTCTTCACTTCCCTTCGCAGACTCTTCAGTAGCCTGTCCTTCACCTCTCCAGCCCTCCCTGGATGTGGCACGCTGGTCAGCACTCTCCTCACTGACTGCTGGAGTATTGCATCCATTAATGCCATCTATTTTCTCGCCATCCGTTGAAGCATGATCCTCGGGGTAATTTGAAACATTTTTATTATCTCTTGATTGCACAGAGTTGTTACTGGCGGGTGTCAGGGAGGCGCTGACAAGACAGTTCTTTTGGGAATGGTACTGAGGTATAATTCCAACAAATTTCAAGCCTTGACTTGCAGCATCTTGAATCTACAAGTCAAAGAAGATTAGATTTTTAACCGTCAAGCTGTCTTAGCTAAATAGAAATACAGAAAATAACACCCTTCAAGGCAGCTAGCATGTAATTTTGCTACTTTTGTCCACTACCACAAGAAATTGTCATGTTACATTTACATTAAAAGTTACATTGTAGAGAAGGATGATGAAAAGTTCAGTAAACCATCTGAAATAATGCAAAAGTGGAGGGAAAAAAAAAAAAAGGGGGAGAGAAAATGCCTACATATTTTTTCACAAGGGACAAAGTATCTGTTTGAAAAGTTTATTTATGCTAAATTACCAGAAGTGGTATCACTCACACAAAGTTTTACTATCAACCTTACGAAGTCCAGGACTTTAATATTACATCTTCTGGCTGTTATTAGGTGTGCAATCATGACATTTATGCAAGGAAAAGGTTATTAATTCTGTTACATGCACCATTATAACAACCGTTGTTGATTGTCCTATTTTGGATTGAGACACAAATGGCAAACTTTCACACAATGAGTACATAAAAGCAAAGCTCTTTTAATACATCACTTCTGGAAAGATACAGAAGTCAACAGAAAAAGGTGTTGTGAGATGAGCTAAGGAAGAATTAAAATGGAAACTGAGGGGTGCTATCATTAATCCTGTACACTTTCAGTAAAGGAGGAAAATGAAGGAGTCAAATCACAGAAGGTCCTAAGAAAAAAAGCATTGGCTAGTAGTAACAATAATTAGACAAAGCCGGAATTAACTAAGGAAGGTTTGAGACAAAGCAGAGAGATCTGCTTTAGGCAGACTCAGCACTACAGATGTACCATCCATTTCGAGTCACCAGCCCCACCGTCCTCATACCCAGAAGCTGCAGCGAGAGCCAGACTTCTGTGAAAACATGAGTGTCTGCTGATTCATTTATCAAAATCACCCACTGAAAAGGAAAGGTTTCCATGTAATGTATACTCTTCATATAATGTAAAGTCTAAACACACATAAATATTTCAAGAAGAAATGCATTGAGAATGGAGAAATAATTTCACTTTCTCTGCATACCATGTCATTCCAGAGAGTTAAAGTGTCTTAATTATTCTCTGAGGCTCAATTTAATAAGAACTTATGTGAAACAGTTCAGGCCTTTTTTTTCCGTAGCGAGTAAATAGGAAGAATTTTGTACAACTTCTTTTTTTTTTTTTTTTTTTTTTAACTTAATAGGAAGCTCATTTCTGCATCTTCCCCACACAGATTTTTTTTTTTTTTAATAAATCATCTGCTTCCTGGTAACGTGTTACTGTTCTGAACACACAAACCTACAGATGATACCTGATCAACAACAAGAACTTCCTCTTTCAAGTGACGATTATATTTTCCATGCTAAATTAACTCTTGATTTTGTGATCACAGGAACTTAAAAAGAGTTCTCCAGGAAACAAGGTAATCGTCTTCACAGGTGTTTAGCCTGGCAAACATGGGATGCTGACTTAACTAAAGCTCATGGCTACAGAGGACAATAACCTTCAAATAAAAATACTACTAGTATCCTGATGAAATGATTATCTGTCCACAAAGAAAGTTAGCATGTAACTAGCTTCCTCAGGAAGGTTTAAGTGAATGTCAACGATAGATGCACTCATAATATGCTTACTAGTCCTGACTCCCTGTTGTAACTTTACAAATACCTTCTTATACAGTCAATGACAGAGTTAGAAATTCAGTTCATCTCTTATCACTAATTTACAGACACACCACAACATTTCTTTAGTAGGCTGCAGGGCAACTAATTATAGAAATTTAACTAGTATGCACTGTTAAGAGTTTGAGGATAGTAGTAAGTATGTAGTAATTTTATTGGTCCTTGTCATTGAAGACTGCTTGTCAATCTATACCAGACTCTCCCATGCTGTGCTTTGCTGGAACAGCTTTCACAGCTATTGTAGCAATGTTTTACAGTCTTGGCTCACTCAAAAAAAAAAAAAAAAAGTGTTTGTTCTAAGGAATACCTGATGCTGAGGTTTTTCTTCTGAGGCTCTTGCTCTCGGAATGCAGACAGGAGGAACTAAGGACTGAATGGTAGTCTAAGCTGTGTAAGCCTAGTAGTTTAGCAGAAGGATTGGAAAAAGAGACTGTATCTTCAACGCCCTTTCCCAACAAGTTCATTGGTAGTATACAGAATACAAAAATCTTATTTAAATCTCAAAAATTTCAAATTTTCCCAATTACATAAATGAGAATGAAGAATCTCATTATTTTCAATAAAGCAAATTTAGCAGGAAATGTTACATCAACAGTGCAATGCAAGCTGCAGAACAGTGAAGTGAAATATCAGCAGACACGGTCTTTCCTTCCAACTTTCCACCAACCACGGAGAGGCTAGCTCTCATCATAAAATATAAAGCTTGAACATTTTCAAACTACACACAAAGACAATTTGATTTTTCAGCATCCCGTTGAGAGATTAAATAGTACGAGATTTTAGTTGCTTTCACATCCAGAATGAATTATGCCATCCAGTATACGTTCACATTTCCTGTTTCCTGTATTTGAAATATTGAATACTTGAATTATAAAAAACAAAACCCCAGATTTAAGCCCAAACAAACCTCAGTACCTGGACAGGTCATGCACAGGAGCTACACAGGGCTGAAGGGCTGTTTCTATCAGCCATCTGTGGTTTTTGGACTCTTTGAGGCATCCTGTGCTGGTACACACAGACAGATACATCTGTTCCAGCCTTTTGGGAAAATACCTTAGCAGATGTGGTGTTGGGAATTGCATGGGAGAAAGCAGGGGTAAAACTGACCTGAATGGGAAGAATGTGATGCTACCCTGACAAGATCACCCTGAACATATTCCAGCTCAGATAAACACTAGAATTCCTTGTCTTCATGTGCCAGTTTAGAGTCCTATGAGTACTAACAAAGGCCCTTGTCATACTACATTGCATGACTAAATGAGAGAAAAAAGCATAAAAAGCAGAACTGCATCTCCACCACTTTCCACATCAGAAAAAGCTAGATTAAAAATGCCCTTACATTAGGTGATCCATACTAACTTCAGTTGTTTTACTGACCTGTTTTTGTATTTTAAATATGCTAGATACTTGCTCTTTACATTTTGGGATATTTTTAAAAGAGAAATTCCAACAAAATTTAAAATTAAAAAAAAAAACCCCTTTGGTTCTTTCCCCAGATAGGAACAGAATTTTTATTGCTTCATGAAGTGCTGTTTGCATGATATTAACCACAAATATAAGAACAGGTCTCCATCACAAAAGATGTTATTGTTCAACAACAGAAGCAAAACTTAACTCATTTATTTCAATCTGGGTAAACCCCCAAGTGGGTACATCCAAATTCGTTTATAATTGGCTTGCAACAAATTTGATTTATGCCAGTTTAAAAATAGAACCTGCTTAAAGAAGGGGTGAATTTTCATGTGTACAGAGGGCCAAGGCAGTTAAAGAATTTAATGTCATCCCTATAATTTGCTTGATTAGAAACCTGGCATTTTCCCCAAGGGGAAAAAAAATGGCAGATTTAGCCTTTGCTTTCTGTGAAATAAATACCAAATCTCCCACTAACTCTAGCAAGAACAGGAACAAGCACCGTGTTCAACCCCGATGTCACTACCTTAACACAAGTGCCCTAGCTAAAATTCAGTTAACATTTCTTAACAATTGTGAATTGTTATTGTTTATTTCAGAACTGTCTGACCGCTATTTTTATACTGTATTTGGAAAAAAGGAACCATCAGCAGCACAAAGTGGTGTCACTAAAAATTATGTTGATGTAGCAAATTTATGTCCCGTCTTTTTAATAATTCTGGTTCTCTTGAAGGCTCCCTACCTAATTAGAAAATGGCTGACAGTCTAATTTAAAGATCTGTAAAACCACGCCTGGCAACAGTATGGCTGAATGATGAAATCCTCTTTTCTGGAAACTACTTGTTTTTAAACTACAGGCGTCACAGCCATGAAAGAAGTGCAGAGATTCCAGGTCGAAAGCTCATTTTGAACAGCCACATATAGGTTTTCTTTCCAAATCTATTTAGAATAGAGACACTTGGCAAGTTCATTACACAGTCCACATACTGTTTGTGATTCTGCGTTTCTTGTTGCATTATCAGCTCCGTAATAATCTCCTATTCATAGCGAGCATGATGGTTCTACTTATAAATACAGATGCTCAAGGATATAGATCCCATGCTGAACAGAATCATAGACGTTTGTCAGCTTCAGTAATTGGTTACAGGGAGATTCTGTACATTTCTCCCATGGGATGGAACACAGCAAATCAAACACTTCCTGCAAGCTCAGGATAGTATTCCACCTGCATCAATAAATATGGGAAATAATGCACAGTAATTTAATAACGAGGATATCTCTCTTGGATAAGAGTTTTCAAACAAATGATTTAATAAGACAATTGCTAGGAATTTCTCTTAACTCTTGTATGCCAGGAGCTGGACATTTTTGGGATGCATCCAGACGAAAAGCAGTTTTATTAATGTCACCAGGTATTCCAGTTTATAGCAGTCCTAAATGGTCTCAAGGCTTACAATTCCTGATGATCTGGAAAAAAACACCTTCAAAACCTAGGCATTAGGACTGAACATTTCATTAATAGGTTTGCTGTAACAAGGTACTGAAAGAATGTCGTAGCAACTCAGTAAAGGGGACTGCTGCTAATATAAAAACAGACAACAGAAACAATCTACAAAAAGCACACATAGGAAAAATGCACTTGGAGAAAGGACAACATTCTCTAGGAGCAATGAATTGATTTTCCAATGGTCAGATGCATTTAGTTAGCTCTGCAGTGAACTAAGGGAAAGACTGCTACTTAGTCCTACTGATGGCCAAACATATGGCCTTTCAAACAATAGCTAGTTAATTTTGCTCAGAGCTATCTATTTAAACCAAGCATAAACTGTCTTAGCCAATAAAAGAAATGCTTGTCTCTCTGTCTGTTTATTTGGTGGTTGTTTTTAAAAGAACAATGTTAGAGGCATTG